GCCAAAGTGGGAGTGGACATCGCTTGGCTCCGCCCACTTTATGGGTTTATGAGTGGGAGGCGCCCCAAAACACCGCGGATTTGGGGGGGGCACGGAAGGGGGAGGGGAGGGAGCTTTCAAGCTCATCTCGTACAACCTCCAACGAGTCGAGCATCTTTTTGGGGTGAGCTGGGTGGGTGTTTTGTCACCCTCGCTATGAAAAAGGACTTCTAACGAGGCTGAATTGCCCCTTTTTTAGGTTAAAATCGTCGTCCCTTCTTCCTGTCACGGCAGGCCTTGCTGATAACTCCTCATCTTTCCTCTAGTCCCTCTTGAAGTGCTCAGAGGTCTCCCCGGAGCTTTCTCCAGGCTGAGGAACCCCAACTCACCCTTTCTTCATAGCAGAGGTTTTCCAGCCCTCTGATCATTTTCGTGGCCTCACCTCTGGTCCTGATCCAACAGGTCCATAACTTTCATGGACTCCCTGGAGTCTGAGAGATTTGGGGGAACACCATTCATGGTGTTTAGGAACTATAAGGGAGCCTGAGGGATTTTGGAGCAAGAGACCATCATGGAGCTTGAAGATCAGCAAGGCCAGGAGCACTAGATGACCTCACCTAAGGGATTTGGGTTCTTCAGCACAGGTGACTTGGATCTTTGTGTCTAGGTAGTTTATGGGTGCACACCACAGGGATAATGAACTAAAGGTCTCTAGGATTTGGGTGCATCCAGCTGAGCCAACAAAGGATCCTTTGATGTGAGGGGCTTGTGACCCACAGCCCCACCAGGTTCAGACACTGGATCAGGCATTTCCACCCTCTGCTGTAGCTGACTCAGAATCCTCTGGGCAGAGCAGTTTAGAGCTCTCAGATAATTAGGTACCAGGCTCTGGAAAGGGCTTTGGGGTCTCCAGCCTAGGTGGGGTGGGAGACTTTGGTCCAAGTGTCTTAGGAACAAGAGCCCAAAGGGATTAGGTGCCTCCAGGCCAAGGATTTCAGTCCCCTAAATGACACAATTTGGGATCCTCAGTGCCCAAAAGGCTCAGGCAACCTCTGCCAAAGTGATTTAGGATCATCAGGCCAATGGCTCTGGGATCTACAAAGCAGAAGGGTAGAGACCCCAGGCCCGTGGGACTTAGGTGGAGCAAGCCCAGGGGGACTGGGCACCCACAGCCCCTGGGATTTCAGAGCTCCTGGCCCGGGTGGATCCTGACATCCAAGGAGTTTAGATGCCTCTAGCCAGGGGCAGGAGGCACCTCCCACCCAAGGCTGTCAGACCCTGCTGAGCAGCAGGGCCGGCCCCCAGGCTCCCTGCCAGCTCTGGCTGTCAGGAGCACCCAGCCTTACCCTGGGAGGAGCTCTGACAACGACCAGGCACCCCTGGATCTGTGCCAGCCCCCGCAGGGCTGTGCCCTGCAGTCCTGCCTCCCCCCTGCCCTGGCTGCTCACCCCAGCCTGCCGGCCGAGCTGCCCCTTCTCCCCCAGGGGGTAAAGCTGCTCGTGGGCACGTTTGTGCTTTCTCCACAGGGATCAACCCTTTCCTGCTTGCTGGACACCTCCAGCTCCTCGAAAGCAAACGCAGACAGACCCTCATCCCGCTCCACCTCCTCCCTACCATCCCACCCCCTCCCATCCTTGCCCCAGGAGCTCCTAGGCAGCCCCACCACTGGGTTATCTCCAGAGCCCACACCCAGCAGCCCACCACACCTCGCCTCGGGCCCCTGGTTGGGAGCCAGGGTGGTGGAGGAGCGAGCAGAGAGCCCCTTTTCCTTCTCCTGGGAGGGTTGTGGCTCTGGCAGCCGCATGTTCCCTCTTCCCCTCCCATCCAGGCAGAGTCTCTGCCTGACCCTCACAAACACACCATCCCCAAGGAGACGGGGCAGGACCAGGAACCGAAATCCTGCCTGGCTTTGACAGACCCACGGAGTCACCGTCCCTCCCAACACACAACAAGCAGCTAATAAAAACCCACAACAGACACACACAAGAAATTCCTGAGATGTCGAAATAAAAACCCAGACCAGTAACTCTTAAAAATGGGAACTCTCCGTACCAAAGGTGTTCCTTTCTTATTTTTTTCACCTTGTTTTAGCGATTTCCAGACAGGAAGAGATTGATTCTTTATAAAACTCGATAGAAAGGGGTAAAACTAAAGGTATAAAGGTATTTACAGAAACCAACGGGAGAGCACCGAGACGCCTCCAAGGCTTCTCACTTCTTCTTGGGCGATTTTCGGATGCTGGACCTGGCTCTGGGTTTCGACCGCTTCGCCTTCTTGGGCTTGGCCGCCTTCAACGACTTGGCCTTAAGAGTCTTTGGCTTCTTGGCTTTCTTCGGGCTGGCCCTCGACTTCTTCCTGGCTTTCCTGGCGGCAGATTTGGGCTTCTTGGCCGGCGACTTGGTTTTCCTGGGCCTGGCGGCTTTGCGGGGAGATGCGGATCGCCGGGATGACGCCGTCACCTTCTTCTTCTTCTTCTTAGCTGGGGATTTCTTGGCCTGGACAGCCTTGGCCAGGCGGAAGGAGCCGGAGGCGCCGACACCTTTGGTCTGCTTGAGGACGCCGGCGGCGAGCAGACGGCGGATGGAGAGCTTGATCTGGGCGTCAGCCTGCTGGCCCACCCGGTAGTGGCTCTTCACGTACTTCTGGATGGCCTGGCGAGAGGAACCCCCGCGGCTCTTCTCCGCCCGGATGGCCGCCGCGATCATGTCCGA